TTTCCAGAAAAAGTCACTAGTACATTAATACAGTTATTGAATATATGCAAATCTGTAGACTTGAGATTTTTCTTTTATACCCCAGCAGTTTTAAGTCTTGGGAATCAAATTGATTAGCAAGAAAATCTGGCAATCTACAAAAGAGTTCAAGAGTCTAAATAGTTTAAGTCATTTTCTCTCACTAAGGCTTGTTGACAGGAAAAAAACAACTTTAATTCCAACTATGTTCAGGATACTGAGTTAGACACTAGTAGTAGTATTAACAAGAGTAGAACATGCTTCCTTCTCTCAAGGAACTTACTGTTGAAATAAAGCATAAACTTTGCATGTGTGGATGTTTTGTTTGTCTACAAGATGCTGGAAATAGAAAATGTAAGCTCTTCACCTACTCAACATCTTTTCCCTCCTTTTTTTTTCAACAGAACCTTGATGTGGTTCAGGAACCCCTCCCTCTTACCCACAGTTGGTATATCTCAGCATCCTCAGCTCCAGGGTTGGTCTAGACTGGTCTAAGAATAATAGCATCCTCTTGCCAGGGACCGGATTAGGATTTTGCATGTTCCCCAGTTTACTTCAGTGAGTTACAAGGATAAATTTGCAGGATGCTTCTAGAAAAGCTTTTCCAGGGGAACTTCCAGAAGTGATTCATGCTCCCACTGGATATGTTGAGCTTTGATATAAGGTTTGAAATTGCTACAGTCCGTTTGATGTCATTGTGAGTATAAAGTCAACACATGGGGGAGGCCAAAAGAATAGCAGAGAAATGGAACGAGGGTAATGGGGTTACATCCACTCTTAAGTCTGTCCTACTTTTGGATCTCCAGTTATGTGAGGTAATAAACTTTCTTATAGTTTAAAGCAGTTTTGGGTTTGATTTTCTGGTATTTGCTTTGAAAGGTTCCTATCTTACACAGGTATCAAAAACACATGCTATCTGATCTAGTGGGGAAAGCAGACATTCAAATATCTGGGTAGGATTGTGCTTCAAGCAACAAAACCAGACTATAGTAACTAAACAAAAAGAGCATTTTTCTTCCTCATATAAGTCTAGAGGTAGGCACTCCAGGGCTGGTACATCTATTTGAGAATATCAGCAAGGAACTAGGGTCCTTGCTTTGTCCTATCCCTAACATGTGTCTTCTGTCTTTATGGTTGTAAGATTGCTCTATTCTTATTGGCATCGTGTCCATAGAAAGAAAGGAAAGTGAAAGCAAAGAGCCAGAGGAATATTCCAGCTGAGTTATGTTTCTTTTGAAAACTTTTACCAGAAGCTCTACCCCATAGGCATAGGTTTTTGAAGAGAAGATCAAAATAACCTCTAAATAGTCCCTAAGCTTACATTTTAAAGGTTAACAAAGGAGAAAGGAATGATCAATGATCTGTCTGTATCACTTTTTCTCCTCTTGAATAATATCCAAGTTAGATTATTCCAGTCATCAAGAGAGCCATCAGTCTGAATAGCTATATTAAATGTCAATCATTGGCAACAGTCATTGCTACGTCTGCTATTTTCTGTCATGATAAGTTATGACAGATAATTAAATCGTGGGTTAAGAGGTATTCTTGAGGAAAAGTTGCAAAAGTTGGCTTGAGCAATGGATGGACCATAGATACTGCTAAAAAGGAGGCAGTAGTTTCTCATATATGCAGAAAAAGGAAAGCAGAGAAGTAAAATGGATTTTGTGAAAGTAGGGCATCTCAGTTATTTTCATTTCCCCCGACTTTCTCAGTGATCAATAGACTAAAGCCTCAAGAAGACTTAGCAGAAAAGAGATGTTTCACTACTCTGTAATTTTTCTCTGTTCCTTTTCTCCTTGATTTATCATATATATAGCATTTAAAATTGACCACTTCCTTGAAGGGCATTGTATTATTCTAGTTTTCTTAGTACCATTAGAGGCTCTTTATCCTCTTTGTGAGTAAAATGTCCCATATATAGGCTATGGCTTAGGGACAAAATAAACTCTTTCTGGTGAAAAGCAGACTCTTAAATACTTTACTGCTTTAAAATATTTAGTTATAATGAAATAAACACTTTCCATTATATAATATTAACATTATTACTACAGTTTAAAATCAATTAGAATTTTGTTAACCATAGTTT